GAGAGAGAGAGAGAGAGAGAGAGAGAGAGAGAGAGAGAAAGAGAGAGAGAGAGAGAGAGAGAGAGAGAGATGATGTGTGTGTTGCTGTGTCTTGGTTTATGAACAATATGTCTGAACCTTGAGACCTGCTGGCAACAAAACAACTCCACCCCAATCATTAGCCACTTACATGTGGTGGTGCCGGAACTGGGAGGGCTGTGAGGGAGGTAGCACTGGAGTCACTCGCATACCACCACTCCAGGAACTGTAGGAAGAACACACCGACCGACAGACTGGTAGACATTGCCACTGCCGCTGAATTCAAGGTCAGCTTTATCAAGCGTAAAAGCCGACTCCGGACACTGAATAGAGAAAATGACCATGACTGCTGTTGATATCACTCTCTTAAAGTCAAAACAAAAGAGAATTTGAATTATAATAGTGGATAAGCTTTTAGAGTTAAAAGTACAACACATAGACTAAGGAACTTGTAATAAACAGTCAAAAGTAAAACACATAAACTAAGGAACTTGTAATAAACAGTCAAAAGTACAACACATAAACTAAGGAACTTGTAATAAATAGTCAAAAGTACAACACATAAACTCAGGAACTTGTAATAAACAGTTAAAAGTACAACACATAAACTAAGGAACTTGTAATAAACAGTCAAAAGTAAAACACATAAACTAAGGAACTTGTAATAAACAGTCAAAAGTACAACACATAAACTAAGGAACTTGTAATAAACAGTCAAAAGTACAACACATAAACTAAGGAACTTGTAATAAATAGTCAAAAGTACAACACATAAACTCAGGAACTTGTAATAAACAGTTAAAAGTACAACACATAAACTAAGGAACTTGTAATAAACAGTTAAAAGTACAACACATAAACTAAGGAACTTGTGATAAACAGTTAAAAGTACAACACATAAACTAAGGAACTTGTTATAAACAGTTAAAAGTACAACACATAGACTAAGGAACTTGTAATAAACAGTCAAAAGCCGTAAACGTCAACAGCGTAAGTTCAAGAATGACCCACTGAAGGTTTAAACTAATGTCATTCACAGTGCAGTGCTACATGGCATCAACTGACCAAAGAGCACAAAGCACAGTTCTTCTATATTACCTAGAGATTGAAATGTAGTCCTGAATTCACATAAAAACTAATTGCCCTCTTCGATGAAAATACCCCCCCTCTTTCCCTCTTCCTGTGTCCCTTTGAATCTCCTTCTCTCTTTCTCTCTCTGTCCCCTCCCCCTCTTACTCTCTCTCTCTCTCTCTCTCTCTCTGCCCTCCCCCACCTCATATTAGACCAAGAGGCGTCAAACAGCCCGACAGCATCATTTTCCACCACATCCTCGTCAGAGACATGTCTGAGCTCCGTGCCAGACAGATGCATGCTGGGACTGTGCCAGCGGCCGTGTCGCAACATGTACTGTAGTTGGTAGATCAGTGTAAGGAGCTCCCAGGCGGAGGAGGCATACGGGAAGCACAGAAGGTACAGACCCTTCAGTTTCTGACGCTTGCTAGCTTCTCTCTGTGGGTAGAAAACATTGTCACCATGCAACCATAATCAGGGATGCTACTGGAAATTTGTGAAAATTACAGAAAAAATATGGAAGTTGCATTAGCAAGCAAAAAGTACATTAAACATACAGAATAAATATGTGGTTAAATAAGAAAACAAAAGCTGAAAATAACAATTCTTACACTTAATGCTTTATCTCCAGAGGGGTTTTTCCTATAATGCCAGAGCCCTGCTTTGGTATAAAACCTGAAAGTGACATACATATGACTAAAGTGGTCATTAAATCATGAGAAATGAACCTACTTCGATAGTTCTTCATCTAATGAAAGAACTCCTGGTAAAATAGACCTGTTTTCAGCAATTTCTGAAAATCAATATGTCGTATTTGTCGTAAAGGAATGTGACCAAGCCACTGCCAGGGCCTCAACGGTTCTGGCTGCAAGCCAAAGGGAGCAGCTTGCCCATGATAGGTAGTTAAAACACTTACCTGTAGAAAAGCTCTCCGTCCAGAATCTCCCATGTTATACAGCAATTTCTCATACAGACTGTGCAGCTTTTGTTTTATGTAGGGTATCAAAACCTGCACAGAGAGATCAAAGGTAAGAAAAACTGTGTGAAAACCAAATTCATAGTGTACTTCATTCACCATGATAAGGCGATGGTCAGCATCTTCTTTGTCACTTAAAATGAGCCCACTCACTTTTATGACAAGTAAAGTGTGTACTTTGGGACTGCCCATGTGAAGAAGGTTTAAACCCTGACCTCAGGCATGAGACATTTATTGACTAACTACTGAGCCAAAACCATCCTCACTGTCTTCTTTTGCAGTCTTTACAACGTTTTGGTCTACTTTATGTATTTGGGGTTTCAACCGACTTGCTAAAAGACACCTCAAAATACTTTATCCTGGGGAGTGGGTCGGTATCCTAGTATGTTGCTTCAATGGGCTAATGAACCACCAAAACGAACATTTTCTCCAAGCAGATTTCAACTGCATTCTCTTCTCTATAAAATTCTTTGTGTCCACTGGAACCACATCATTAAACTTGTCTTCCTACAGAACCTATATTGTACTTTTCTCTAATGCTTGAAAACAGAAAATGATTGCCTCAACATCTTTTATGTCCATTAAAAAAATATATTGCTGAATGGATTTTGCAGATAAACATTGATCAAAGGCACAAAGAATGTAAATTTATAATTTTCAAGTACTCTCAAGCTTTGAAAGTCACCAAGCTTTGGTGGCCATTTTCTCACTAATTTTACCTCTAAAACCAGATGACCCCCTACTTCTTTTAATCCTAAATATCTTGACCTCAATTAAAGACAGAGCAGCTTGCCCATGATTTTCATTGAAAGCAAGACAACCGAACAAGCTTTAAGATGGTACCAATTACTTCATATACCCAAAAATTGACAAGAGCCTGATTTTACCCCATCATGACACATTTGCTTTTACACTAGCGAGTACAAAAGGAAAGTGTCCTCTAATATATAACTTTTATATAACCTTTTAAGAATGCAATTTTTACCTTAACTAAAACGCTACTTCAGCTGCTACACAAGTACAAGGTTTCAAAAAAGAAAAAAATTGTAAATGCCATCAATCTCTCTCATTCACTGATCGCAATAGTCAACCACTTACTAAGCAAGCCAATGCCCGGAGTCTGAGTCTTTGTGACAAAACAGAGGAATCCACATTCCCACTTGGAACACGCTTCAAGTCGTAGAAATTTTCAGCAAATGAACCCCCTGGATTGGGAAAATACATATAAGGAAGGATTTCAAGTGTATCTCTCCACATTTCAAATGTTTAAGGAAATAAATAATTGTACCGTTCCTTAAGTGAGTGTGTTAGAGTTAGATATTGTGTGAACATTAAATAGTAAGACTGATAAGTAGCTTTCAAACAGTCATAACAACAATCTATCATACCTCTTTTGGAAATATCTTGAAGGAAAAAGAATACTTTATGCCTTTAAAAAACAAACTTATCAACAGCCCAAACTATATATAACATAACAATAGTCCTTCTAAATGCACAATGTGAGAGGGTGAGCTCAAGACAAAATGTGTGTGTGCTTGGAGAAAGGTCCCAGTTGTCCAAATTCTGGACATTGAAATAAGGGCATATATTAATGTTGCAAATTCAACGCTGAACACACTGATTTTTTTTCAAATAGCATGAGTAATTTTTAAGATATGCCAAATTTTGTTCCACAGGGTGTAAAAACAAAGTTTGGATAATAATAGCTTTAAAGATTGACGTGAACATGAGTAACTGAGTGAGCTTAAGGTTGGCATTTCAGTTGAGTATATTCGAATATTATGTTCTTTTTAAAAAATAACAATTTCTGGTAATTCCATTTTCTACTAATTTTCCTACAGCTTCTTTTGTCACTTTATCATTTTCACCTACTATTAAGATAAAAAAAACCCCGGTGACCTCTCCTCTTTTGTGGTAGAAGAATTCAGTCATTTCCATGTCCCTAGGTTGACGGATTTTCCTTCAAATAACCCTACCTTCCAAAAATATTTGTGACCAAATGTATGGAGTGCGACGATCCACTTGTGGACCCTGTTGTCATTTTCCCACAGGATTATTAATTAATTGGCCACAGTGTAAAAAAAAAAAAAAAAATTCGAAAGAGGAAAGAACATAACGGATATATGTAAATTTCCTTTTTGAGTGCCAACATCATTCTGGAGAAAAAATTTTAATGGCATGAATTAGACCCAAAGTTGACACTTCGCCTCGCTTGCATGCATTTGTGCAATGCGCAAACTCGCAGCGTTGGCCTACCTAATACTATGATATTATGAAAGTGCCGGGGACACATATGCTGGTGTTTACCAGAATTCTGATAAAATCTCTGAGTCTTCGACAGATCATTGCATGGCAAAAGTAAGGGGCATGCAGGACAAGGCAGCTTTCTAGCAAGTTACTCTGGCTGCAATTTTCAAAATAAGAAAGGTTTCTCCAATTCTTCAAAGAATCAAGGGATGTAAGGACAATATTTTCTCAATTTGTGAGGCAACGCAGTGAAATCAGGCGCTCATCAAAATGGTGAAATCAAAGAAATCAGCATTTTTCCGCGGGTTTTGCAATTTTTTTCAAATTTGTTATTTTGGTTCAACACCTTTTATATCTATTGAAAAACACATTTCTGTGAAGATTTCAATGAAAAAAGTTGATATAAGGCACCAAAAAATGTACATTATTTGTTTCCAAGGTCTCTTGAAGCCACGCAAGACACAGAACTTGGTGGCCATTTTCTCATTTATTTTATCTCTAAAATCAGGCGACCCCATCTCCTTCAACTGCGAATATCTCTACTTTTATTTGTGATAGATGGATAATTTTTTTTCATCACAAGCAAGACAAATGGAATGGCTTTATAATGGTACCAATAACTTCATAAATATATATACAAAAATTGACAAGCACCTGATTCCACTACATCACAACCCATTTTAAATAGCCTTCAGTAAAAATACATCCTTCAAGGAAAATGGCTGGCTGTGGACTGAGAAGAAGCAGAGAGAGACCTACCATGCTTCTTGAGGTAGTAGGACTGCACCAGGGTGTCAAACAGCAGGTAAATCTCATCATAGTAACGCACTAAAACGCCAAGCCGCTCTGGATACTTCTCAGCAAAAACCTAGCATTACGGGAAGAATCAGATATGTGGGAATTCAAAATTTTTCACAAATAAAAAGTTCATGAAAAATTAATAATGGAAATACAGAACTAAGGAGTAGTTTTCCCTGGGAACTTTCAAGCACCATAATTTGGCAATCACACAATGGATCGGTTTTCCTTTCCTATTCATCTGATCCCCAAAGCTGACAATAGGATTTTGTTGGGTAACAGTTAAAACCACAGAAACAGAATATGATACATGTCTAAATATAGAAAAAAACGACAGCTCAGTACGCCATTCGTTACTGTAAAAAATAATAATAATAATAATAAAAATAATAATAATACAGTGGGTGTCGCATTCAGCGAGGTCGCCGGGACCGGCTTGTTGTCCTCGTTGAATCCGACCTCTCATTGAACGTGACTAAGACTTAAGAAAGGAGACAATTGATTATATTACACGATGTGCCAGTACCTGTAGTTAAAACAGTTGTTCCCCCAATGACGAAAATCTGAAACAGCATCACATCAGTGTGCGCATGTTTGAGCTGTGTTCTAACGTCGGTGGCGTCGGTGGCCTAGTGGTTAGGCTCTCGGACTCGCAACCTTATGGTCGTGGGTTCGAATCCCGTCAGGGGCCCGACGTTGTGTCCTTGGGAAAGGCACTTTGCACGAATTTTCCTCACTTCACCCAGGTGGAAATGGGTACCCGGCTATAGACAGTGAACGATCTTGTCAGTTTGATAGTGTTTGAGCGCGTGAAATCCGCAGCTTGCACTGTATGCTTCCGCGGAAGCCGAGAATGTTTCTGAGTGTTCTCAGAGGGTCTGCTGGGGTAATAATAGTTGTAAAGCGCATAGAGCATGCTCTTGAGCATGGATATGCGCTATATAAATGCAATTATTATTATTATTATTATTAACCGTCATTTCTGCATAACATTTTTTTTTTCCGGAACACTTCTTGTGTGGAAACATACCCTCTCACATCTAGGCCTAGATCTACATAAATTTTCTGATCAGGGAAGAAAAGCAAATTGAAAAAAATGAAGGTCCCGATCTAGACCTACCCATCCAGAGTTTATCCAGTTTCACACAGCCTGCATCGTGTTCCCAGCCATCTCGTCACGTCCCTACTCCATCTTCTTGGCTTTGGGGCCCATATTACGAGGTACACTAGATCTAACAATACAATGTGTTAGGAATCGAGGATGGGCCTTGTGCTTCGCGTGAGATGGAGAGAAAGGAGAAAAATTCTTCGCTTTTGGGGCCGCTAATTGCTTTTATTTGGTTATCGCGATCTCGTTGAAAGCGACTTCGGTCTGTTTGGAACCTCCTTGGAGCCGACGTACATTTACAAAGAGATATAGAGGGAAAAATCGGGGATTATGGATTGTCTCGTTGGAATCGACTTCTCGTTGAATGTGACCTCATTGAATCCGACATCCACTGTAATAATAATTATAATGGCATTTGTATAGCGCATATCCCCACTTGACAGCAAGCTCTACGCCCTTTACACCCCACCAGACTATAGAACACTCCGAAACATTCTCAGCTTCTTTGAAAGAATACAAAGCAAGCAGCTGATTAAACGCTCAAACACCAATAAACTGACAAGATCTTTCACTGTCTAGAGCTGGGTTCCCATTCCCACCTGGGTGAAGTGAGGAAAATTCGCGTTAAGTTTCCCAGGGACATAACATTCAGCCCCACTGGATTCAAACCCACGACCTTACAGTTAGGAGTCTGAGAGCCTAACCACTAATCCACCAATGCAACCATAATGTCGTATGGTGGAGTCGTATAAACAAAGCAGTTGAAATAGTTAAGACAATTAGTTCTGTGTGAAGTACATACTCAAAAAGCAAATGACTTTGTAAATGAGAAAAATAGGTCAAGGATAAAGATACTTGATAAAGCACTAGGTCAAGGGAAGAATAAAAGCATCAACTCATGATAGAAGAAATGTCAGGCCTTTCAAGCAAAACACAATGAGAAATTCCCAAAGTCAATCTCTTTACCAATTTGAGGGAATATAGAGACAGAGAGTGTTCTGTAAGCATTTCTCTAAAAACATAATTCAATCTATCATTTCAAAAGTCTGCTACCATTATATTGCATTCGAATGAGATAAAAAGTGAAATTCACTGAAACAGCTGCATTATCCACTATAATTACAGTAGTCTCCGCCTAAAGTCCCACTGCTTACGATCCTAGTTCCCTTAAGATCCCGCTGTTGTAAGAAAACAGAATTTTTACTATACAAAAGTCACCCCTAAGATCTCGTTCTGATTCACTATGAAAGTCTACATTTGGCTAAGGTCCTGCTTTTCAGACCATAATTTACGGAACCAAAATCTGGGCGGGCATAGCCGATCAACCAAGAGTGAAAAATTGAGATCATTGAACTGCCCGTCGCATTAAAGATCAGCCACTCCGTTGAATGCGATAACATAAAAGCGTTGTAAAACTCTCTGAAGAAACTGTACAATATTTTCACCGGACGGGATCATACCGAGGTGTGAACTGACCCACGTGTTTGCTTTCCCCAAACATCTCACTTGCATCTGAGCTCCCCACCTAAACTTACATTACTCGCTGGGTGGGCAGGGTCTACAAATTTGTTCCAGGTGGGATTACATCAAACTGTGAACTCTTCCCTGACCATTGCAGCAGTTGTCTCCACTCCCGAATTTGTGAAAGACTGAATTTTAATTGGTGTAGTCACAACGTAATGGTGTGAAACAATTAAGGTGGGGAAAGCTATAAATTTTGGACAGGTAAAGGGGATAAGTGAAGATCTTGAGACTCAGGGTAGGATAATAAGTAAAAATGACGTGCCTCTTGCCATTATGATCGGTCATCAAGGTTGACCACTCTTTACTCACCATATGTCATAAACCCACCCAGAGGTCACGTCAGTTCATTTTAGAGTGAAAGGTGACCATGTTACCGGTTGTGGGCTTTAACATGGGTCACCGTAGATTCTTCCTCTGGTGCATCGGTTAAGATCTTGTTCGCCTCATATCCCACATTTTCCTTGCTCCCGATCACCGGGTTCTTAGGCGGAGAGTACTGTATAACAAAATTTTGAGAGTTAAAAATGTGTAGCGTCCCCAAAACTTTTCAGCTGTGCTCAGAAGCCAGACAAGGAACCAGCTGTCCTCTATGCATTTATCCTAACACATAAATTTACATGAATACATGGACTTACCCTGACAGCATGACCAATTGCAGGATGCAGAGTGGCCGATAAACTCTGTTGTGCCAAAACCTCAAAGATACTGGGCAGACTGGCGTCAGACACACCACTAGAGGTTAGGTGAGCTCCGTGTTCCGCCATGATCACCGAGTCCAGGACAGACCTCAGAGAAATGTGACAAGAGAAATCTTAGATGAGACTTACTTCAGCTTTGGCTGATTTGTCTGGTGAGCCAAAGAACTGAAACCAAAATGTTAAGGGCTGAAAGAACTTAAGGCCTGCTTACATATATAAAGATGGATGGTACAAAAAATTGGATGCGATCATTCTTTCACATGACAAAATTCTTACTGCAAAATTATACAAATCGAGAAATCAAGCCCAGTCAGATACTTTTTAATGTAGTTTGGGTCAGATTTGGGAGAGATGAGCTAGGAGGTAGAATCCAAACAGTTCAAGATGCAATTACAGAATAAAAATTTTTTAAATCGATTTTTAAAATTTAAATCGGATTTTTTAAATTAAAAAAAAAATGTCTCCACAGTTTGTGATCTGTAGTGGCTAAAAGTATGTTTTTTTAGTGCAAAATGCATTGTCTTTATTTATTTTAACTAATGATTAATTTATGAAACTGCAAAAGAAAGCCTTTATCTGCTATATCAGTGAAGAAAATGTCAGTCTAAAAGGAAGGGGGGGGGGGGGGGGGGGTAATTAAGCATAGATAAACGTGCATTATATTACAGTGCGCACACTTGTGTTTGTCTAAAAAGAAAAAGAAAATACTAATTTCGATTATGAAAAAAAAAGTAAATTGAATACTGTATTGTGTTTCTTTTCAAAACCTTCAACCCCAAACAACTCAATGGGTAATTTAAACATTATCTAAATTGTTGGTTATTGTAATACTGTTAATATTGTATGAAAGTGATTTATTTTCAAAATTCCTTCAGTTGTCATTTTGTTCCTTGCAATAATATCTGAATTTTATTTTTGTTACATTGTGATTTATTTGTTAATGTTTTTATTCTCTTCAGTCACAATTGTTTTGATCTCATATTCAATAAAAGTTTACAGTTAATAAAGCTAGACATTTCCTTAGTCTGTGTGTGTGTGTGTGTGAGCGTGTGTGTGTGTGTGTGTGTGTGTGTGTGTGTGTGTGTGTGTGTGTGTGTGTGCGATTCTGTTTGTTCAAAACAAAAGAAAAAATGCTAATTTCAACTATGAAGTTATGAAAAAAAGTAAATTGAATCCTGTATTACTTTTAGTGACAGGGGGGAAAGCAGACTTTTAAGCATGATTATATTAGTCTACTAAACCTTATACATCTGTTTTATAAAACCAAGGAAAGGAATTCTGAACATATGTAAAAACTGAATACATTTTTTAAAAAGAGATTTAAATCACTGATTTTTATTTTAAAAATCCAGTTGATTTAAATACAAAAAATCGACTGATTTAAATCAACCAAACCCAGATTTCAGTTATGAAAAAACCCAAAATAGATTAAACTGTATTATTTTACAGTGACAGCAGGGGGAAAAGCAGACTTAAGCATGATTATATTGGTCTACTAAACCTTATATCTGTTCTATAAAACCTAGGAAAGGAATTCTGAATGTTTAAATATGTAAAAACTGAATAAAAATAAATTTTAAAAAAAATCAAGTTGATTTAATACAAAGAAACAACTGATTTAAATCAACCCAACCCTGCCTGTGGAATCAACAGGTTTTGGTCAATTGGACCAAACCTACAGTACGGCTAGCCAGTCTAGCCGCGTACTCGTACTTAAGTATGGCTAGCCACTTCGTATTTTTTTAGGCAGAAGCGCTATTTGCAACGCCGCGTTCTAAATAGCTCCCATGCTATTTGAAACGCTGCGTTCTGAAAAGCTCCATGCTATTTGAAATGCCAGTACTAGATCTAGATCTAGTAGCCATCGTTTCTACATGATAGTTCTGCCTGAATTGCGGAAGCTTTCTCAGTTTCTTGATAAACCTCCTAGGATTTGACTCCATTTTTTACGATTTTGTCTCATTCCGATCAATATTGGGTAGATCTAGCTAGATCTGGATGTAACAATTGTTTCTGGCACTGTTTGATCAAGTAAGTCAAAAGACGCTTGGATAACAATAACACTAGAGTTCTACGGTGCATACTCGAAGCACTCTATACAAAATCTAGAATCTAGATCTAGATCTTATATCTGTCCGCGGTGTCGTCATACAATAGATCTGAAATCTACCTAAAAATATTAACTCTGCATGCACTCTTTATATTTTGCCATCACACATGACGTCGCCTGATCTAGGCTTCGGCATTTTAATTACCAGCGGGTAGTGTCACATTCTCTTATAGGCCTGGAGAACGTATGCACACAAGCTGTCTACATGTTCAGTGCTTCCAAGCGTGGCATCGAATCCCGGTCCTGGATGGGTTTTTTTTTCTTCCTCTGAGCCTAAAATATTTTTAAAAAAATTATAATTTAGAATTAGACTCACAGACCAAGGAACGCCACTATTGAACTTTAACAAGGCCTTTATAAAATCATTGGTAAAAAGAAAATATAATACTTTGTAGGTAAAAGCTCCTCTTGGGGACAAAACCAGAATGATGAGAATGTGCATGCTTCATCACTAGGCTACATAAAAAACTACAAAGCAACAAGTTATAATAATTTTATGGGAAAAAATTGTTGGTCAGTCGGGAAGAGAAGAATTAGATGAAAAAGAGAAAAAAAAACAAAAAAAGAAAAAAAAAACTTCCAGGAGAATGGGATTCGAACCCACGCTTTGTCCATTCGGCCATCAAAACTCCCAACAATAAAAGGTAGATTAAGCTCAATATTTAGATTTTAACACACGGCTGATGTTAGGGGACCGTACGCCCCAATAGCGCTTGGCGCAAGGGGACCGTACGCCCCCATAGTGTTTGGCGCTAGGGGACCGTACGCCCCCATAGTGTTTGGCGCTAGGGGACCGTCTGTGCTAAGGCGTGGTGTTACGGGACCTACGCAGATATGCATGCATCTGGACTTTGCAAAAATACTGGAGGAAAACGGTCAGTTTAACGAAGCTCCTATGTTCGATAGGTAAAGAGATATTTCACAATAAGTTGCGCCGTGCATTTTTGACCGCTCTATAGGCGTAAGTTGGTATACTATGAATTTAATTTATACTCTTAACTTATTTCACACAAAGTTTTACCTGATTAATGATCTCTTCTCAATCTAATAGCATAATTATACCCTGCCGACCCCATCGTTCGCCCCCACATTCCCTTCGCCCCCACATTCCCTTCGCCAACTCTTTCCATCTCTCTCTCTTTCTCTCTCTCTCTCCCCCCCCCCCCACTCCTTCGCTTTGATTTCTTATATTGACAGTTGTTATAAACATTCTCCTAGTCCTAGTAATAACTCCTTACGTCAGGAGCTTCGTCAAACTGGCCGTTTTCCTCCAGTATTTTTGCAAAGTCCAGATGCATGCACATATATCAGCGTACGGTCCCGTAACACCACGCCTCAGCGCAAAGGACGTACGGTCCCCTAGCGCCAAACACTATGCGGGCGTACGGTCCCCTAGCGCCAAGCGCTATTGGAGCTAACGGTCCCCTAACACACAGGGTTTTATTAAGCACTGGCGCTAATGGCAAAATTAGCCTAGATCTTGATCTAGATCTATCTAATCTAGATCTAGACTCTGATGAATTCCTAAGGTTGAGACTGCAGCAAACAGTACTGCAGAATGATTCCCGAAGCAGTGCATCTCTGAGTGTGGGAGTGAAAAGTGAAAGTAAAAATTTACAAAATTTACCACAGTTCACAGTGGATTCTTGTTTCTAGATCTAGATCTAGAGATCAGCAGAATGTGCCTAGATTCAAGTTAACGTCTTCTGCTAGCCTAGGCTACTAGATTCTAGATCTATTAGGTGCCTATTGTCTCTGATTTTTCAAGAGTAGAAGAGCTGGGCTGGGCTGGGCTGAGAAGAGAATTCTAGGCTCGGCCGAGATCAAGGTAGCCTAGCCTAGTGTTGTTGTGTTGTGTTGTGGTCCCATCGTTTGAATGTTGTTTTATAAACTAAAAGAGCAGCAACCATTTTTGTACCGATTTGAAAAAGATTTCCAGTTTCCATTTCCGTTTCTGCCATCTCACCAGTAGGCTATGCTATCAGGCAAGTAAACAAAGCTGTTCAGGCTGGGTCAGTCAGGATACCACAAATATTATACAAAATAATGTAGCGTGACATTTTCTTTCAATACTAGAGTGTGTTAAGCGTTCGGAGTCATAGTTCATTCTTTGTACTGGCACTTCCAGATGCCAAGACCCTTTGCTGGCCTTAGTTTTAATCAGTTTTTATGAGTATGGAGTAGACTAGAATCTAGATCTAGATCTAATACTAGATCTAGATCTAGAGATCTAAATCTAGATTAGATATAGATCTAGATCTAGATTCTAGATCTATATCTATATCTAGACTAACGGACAGACTCTACAACTAGATCTAGATCTAGATATGGTGGCAAGTCTCACCCGGGGTGAGAGGTCGATCGTATTTCACCCCGGGTGAGAATAGCCACTTCCTTTTACTTTTAATATACACCCACACACAGATGCACATGAAGGCTAAACTGCCATAATTTTGGTAGATCTAGATTCTAGATCTAGATCTAGATCTAGCGTCAATTGCCACCGAGTGACGCGTGGTGGCAATTGACAAAAATTGACTTTTTGTCAATTGCCACGGAGTGAAGCGGTGTCAAGTCTCAAAACAACACTAGATTCTATCTTTAATTCTTTAGCAATAGCCTACATAATGTGTGTCTAATGGGTCAATTTGTTCTTAACTAATTTCATTGGACGAGCATCTAGACTAGAGCTACCGTACCAACTTGGCGTGTTTTCAATTAGACGTAGGCCTAGATCTAGGCTAGCTTTAGCCTACACTTTGGTGTAGAACCAACACAGGCAATTCTAGAAATTGAAGGTCACAAACGCACACAAACTCAAGCAGAAATTCACGTTATATCGGAGAACATAAATCGGGGGACGGGGGTCAAGAAAAGACATACACACACACACACACACACACACACACACACACACACACACACACACACACATACACACACACACACACAAACACACACACACAGAGGGACAGAGGCGAATGCGGTAAGATTGAAGAATACCGGACCAGCGGACTGACTTTGCCTATGTCTCAATCATAGGAATTCATAATTTTCCCATCTCTCTCAATGGAGAATCTCGGACCGGTAGATCTATTCATTGAAATTTTGTCAGGGGGGGGAGACCCCCCTGAACCCCCCAGCCCTCCCCCCTCCTACACCCCAACCACCCGCCCCACCTACCCCACTTTCTCGCACAACATAATGTACGAGTGGTCCGGTATTCTTCAATCTTCCCAACAACACCGAGCACTTGAGCACAATAAGCTAGATCTACCCACCAACGCAAAAGAGCTCCAATTTACTTGGTGGCAATTGACAAAAAGTCAATTTTTGTCAATTGCCACCGCGTCATTCGGTGGCAATTGACACTACCTATAATTTTTTGCTGCAGAACACATGTGTGGCCACTAAAACCCTTGCAAATCAATTGTTTTCTTGTTTTTAAATATCAATCCTAATTGCCAAAACATCAAACCATTGTGAAATACAGGGGGACATGCCCCTCCCTGAAACCCCCCATGTTGTTAACAGTAAGTCAAATATTGCTACGCCACTGGTCCTAGTTAGAACTCTGTTTTCAAACATAAATCTCAGTAACCATTGATTTGTGGCAAAAATGAAGGCCATTATATATTTGTGTTCAGCATGCAAAATACTACTAGATCTAGAAAAAAAGTATTCAAACCTGTACATGAGACAGGTGTATTATTAGTTAAAAAATACCCAAATCATAAATGGGTTTTATTGTTTTTATGTTCCGTTGTTTTTGGGTCGGTGAGTCGGACTCAGAAATGTGTTTGTTTTTGAAGCCTTGTTTTTGAGTCGGCACCCAACTTCGCCTGACTCGTTGCCTGAAAATTTGAAAAGCAAACGCATTAGTTTTCAGGTGTCCGAGTCGGGCAATTGACCCAACCCACTGATCCCATCTGTAAGCCTAATGGGCACCCCGTTTTAGGGTGTATTGAAACTAGGCCTTGGCACCCCTACAAAACTATTACGAGGTGCTCTGTGCTGTCTGGCCTGTTTGGTCATTGCTGTTTCTCCCTGTATTCTTTTTGGGCCACGTCTCTATTCTCACTCCTGTCTGAATAGCCTCCCGTGGCTACTCGGGTGAATTTGACCTTGACCTTCCTGGGTTAAAATGATCTGGCCAAAATTTCTACACAAATTAAGAAAAAAGTAGGTACCAGAAACTAAATTTTCAAAGTAGCTGTATATATATGCCAAATTTATCTGTTCCATTTGAAAGGCCCCATTGAGACTGAGCATTTTGGTACCATTCTTTAACCTCTCAGTCAATTTTTAAGAAAATGGTAGTTGTTTAGAATTGGATCAAATTTGTTTAATAAAAGTCGGTCACTGCAACCCCATGTTTGACAGATGAAAGAGTTCCAAGAGAACTAAACATCTCCACATTAACACAGTACAGTCACTATAACTATAACAAATATATGGTGGAGCCTAATTTTTTTCAAGACTGAGATCATTACAAATCAGTATTTTATCACCTCAAATGCGATGATCTATCGTTATTTTTCTACAAAAACATGTGCGGGGTCACATACATGCTTTCCGAGTCTCGCGGAAGGGTTGATACAAAATAATTCCACACATATTACTTTATTCTAATATAGGAAATGAACTTATCTTTTAATTGATACCTTTTTTGAGCCGGTGTTTTACATATTTTGTGTAAAAACTGATCTTTAAAAATTTTGACGGTATTTTTAAAGGCTTTCTATTTAAACGCCAAAGGCCAAATATATACCACGGGAAAGCCTGTTGAAAGCTACAGTTCTCCGCCAATGAAAAGACGGTATTTAATAATCTCTCGTTCCGCGAAGCATTTGAATGCACACGTGTCAATTTTTGAACCGGCCGACCACGCGTTCCGACCGCGAGGGGCTTCGCTTTCCTCGGCGATTCTCCAGCTCCTAATAATCGGACATATATATAAACAACTTACACCATTGTAACGAGGAAAAGCTGAACTTTTACATGGTGTACGGCATTTGGTGTTTTATACCGAAAGAGCAAGGAAACAGCGATCGGAATACCCCGATTTCACCAATACCACGCGGTCGGAAGGCCATGAGTGCCCGTGAGGCCGTGTTTACGCTAGGCAGTATAAGTGACGTCAAAAGTGAACAGCAGTACAGTAGTTGCAAAATCAGAAATTATACCCGGTACTACACAACAAAGGCTAACAGCAGGGTTGGTGATTTTTTTGATTTTTTAAATTTTAAAAAAAATCGATTTTTCAAATTTAAATCAGATTTTTTAAAAATTAAATGATTTTTTGGATTTTTTTAATTTAAAAAAAATGTCGACACAGTTTAGAATTTTTGGTGGCTAAAATTATGTTCTTTTAGTGCAAAATGCATTGTCTTTATTTTAACTAATGATTAATTTAAGCAACTGCAATTTTAGAAAGCCTTAATCTGCTATATCAGTGAATTATGGCTACAGACTAAAAATGAAGAAAATGTCAGTCTAAAAGGAAGGGGGGGGGGGGTAATTATGCATAGATAAACTTGCATTTTATTACAGTGTGTGTGTGTGTGCGCGCACTTGTGTTTGTCTAAAAAGAAAAAGAAAATGCTAATTTCAATTAAGAAAAAAAAGTAAATTGAATACTGTATTATTTTACTACTTACAGTGACAGGGGGGAAAGCAGACTTTTAAGCATGATTTGATTATTTTAGTCTACTAAACCTTATATCTGTTTTATAAAACCAAGGAAAGGAATTCTGAATGTAAAAACAGAATACCTTTTTTAAAGTGATTTAAATCACTGAGTTTTATTTTTAAAATCAAGTTGATTAAAATTTTTAAAAATCAACTGATTTAAATCGACCTGATTTAAATAAACCCAACCCTGGTTTTCAATTATGAAAAAAAAGTAAATAGAGAACTGCATTATTATTATATAATATATATGTATGTGTGTGTGTGTGAGATTGCGAGTTCGGGGGTTCGAGCCTCAGCTGGGTCCGACGTTGTGTCCTTGGGAAAGACACTTTACATGAACTTCCCACTTGTCTCGGTCCTATCGGAGACGGACGTTAAACTAGGAGGTCCTGCCCCTTAAATAACCTAATAATGTTGTTAAACCTATACCATTTCATTTTCATTTTCTTTGTGTGTGACAGTGTGTGTATATATACATCCATACAGACATAGAGAACTGTTACAATATAATTTGATATCTGTTTTTTGGGGGGAGGGGGGGATAAATGTTGGACGGCGCTCGCATAAAAGGTCATATGAGCAATGAGCATGTGGGACACATTAAACATTTTCAGTGGGTAGGAAAGTCTTAATTTTGCCTGGGTTTTAGATTTTTCATCCTTGCCCGAGAAGGCTAGGTGTGTAAATCTTTCCTACCATAAGATCAGGGGTGGGACTGAAAGACAGCAATAAGAAGGAGTCAAGTAGTAGCAGTAGAAAGGCTGCAGAAAGAGTCAGGGGCCCAGAGGAGGAGGCAAAGGAGGTAAGGGGGGGGGGGGGCAGAAAGTGGAGTCGAAAGCAGTAGAACATTGTCAGAGAGCAGGAAAGGAGGTGAAAGGAGACATTTTAGAGAAGAAAATTAATATTTCCGTTGCTATCCGGGTTCCAACGGAGGACCTATTGAATGAGAGAACTCCTTAACCTCTAGGCCACAAGAGCCCCCATAACTACTTTACAAAGAGACACTACAATACATGTGGTACATAATCTTTTCACTAGACAATTTACAGCCTTGCAGTCCATAATAAGTTCACAACAATTTTTCATTCTCTTTTGTTACAAAAGTTAGTGTTTCATTCTAAGTATGCTATTTCTTTCTTTTAGAGATAAGATGTCTGACCCTTCCTCATCAACTTCAACAACATCAGCGTCATCGTCATCATCATCAAGTTCATCAGGTTCTAGTGGCAACCAGTCTCTCAGATGGAGTCTTCAAAATTTTCCTGTTCCTTTGCAGCTGCAGGTGATGTGTAATAATGGACTTGTTAAAGTTAACAGTGTGTTCAGAATCTATGGGGAATACAGTGCTTTCAATAAACTTTCTGAAGAAGTTTTGGTTTTGAGTATAAAACATGTGCTACCTGGTATTTCTTTTGAGATATATATAAATATATATATATATACAGTCAAACCTTTGTAAGACGGCCACCCATTGTCAAGGAGA